TGATACAATTACTAGACTTTAGTGCAACAGACGCGGGTATGGTGCTATTAAACCAAGCATCCTGTATTTAGCAAATCTGGGATTCAAAGCCATGATTGTAGGACCCTGTCACACCAAAGGGACGCAACTCTGCATAGAAATCTGCGACGACTTGGCTGTCCATGCTGAACCGAGTGAGTGAGTATGGTTTTACGCCGCTTTTAGCAATATTCCAGCAATATCACGGCAGGGGACACCAGAAATGGGCTTCACACATTGTACCCATGTCGGGAATCGAACCCGGGTCTTCGGCGTGACGAGCGAACGCTTTAACCACTAGGCTACCCGACCGCCTCATGCTGAACTGAAAGAACAAACAATAGCATATGATTCACGGCATGTACGTAAATTTTCTGTACCCGTGAGAGCCATGTACCCGTACTACCGCCTCTGTGGTCTAGTGGTAGAGCGTCCGCCCGGAGAGCGGAAGGTCCGGTGTTCGATCCCCGGCCGCGTCATACCAAAAGACATTTAAAGATGTTATTTGTTGTTACCCTGTCTGGCACTCGGCATTAAGGGGCTAAAACAAGGACTGGTCGGCTCGGGGTCAGTATACTGTATCTGAGTCGGGTTTTCATGTTAAACTGCGGCATGGTATCTCAGTGAGCTAGCACTATAAATCGGCATCAGTCCGGACTAGTACAAGCAGCCACACAAACACACACACGTACATGCACGTCGCTATATAAGTGCAATAATCTTGGACGCGACGTTAAACCCAATTTCACCTCACCTGTACCCGTACTGCACTACAGCCTTGCCTCAGTCGACCCGCTATTGCGTGATGTTTACATCTACTTCAAATGATGAACATGTTACGGTGGCAATATATTATTCATGAACAGAACGTGTGGACGACTTACAGTCACGGGATGGTTTCGCGCCAGCTGGAATCGCTTTTAGCAATGCGGAATAAATAAAACATACGTCCGAGCCATGAACCTGCGCAAGAGCCCAGCGCGGTATCGTGAAAACAGTGGATTGTATTTTCAAATCATGTCGCTTGATTCAGAAAAACTTATCATGGGAAAAAAGTAATGAAACAGAAAAAAAATAAATCAGTTTTTAAAAGAGATACACTTCCGGGCAAAAGAAAGTATACACTTGAACATTATTTTTAACCCCCAAAGCACAAACGTTATCAAAACGTTAAGAGGCTTAAAAAACAGTCGCCGTACACTAGTCATGACCCAAAACAGAACTGTGACACCCGTATTAAAAAAGTGTGTGATGGGAATGGTTTGCGGCGCTTTTAGCAATATTCCAGCAATATCACGGCGGGGGACACCAGAAATGGGCTTCACACATTGTACCCATGTCGGGAATCGAACCCGGGTCTTCGGCGTGACGAGCGAACGCTTTACCATATTGGCTACCCTATCGCCCCTATATCAAATGATCACCATCGAGCAAGCATTTCTTGTTTGTTTCATTTGTAGCCACGATCAAACATGGACGGAGGCTTTCGTTTGCCCAGCGGTGTAAACAGTATTATTTCTCACCATGGTTTTTGCCTTCATATTTGAGTAAATCCTCCTGAAAGTGCTGGGTTTCATTGTACATTTTTTGTCTGTGAAATTCCAACTAATTTGACAATTTACAAATGTATTATAGCTAAATTGGATAGAATTATCATTAAACCACCCGCATGTTATCAGAAATGAGCGGGCCACTGTAACTTGATAATGCCCTCATATTACTTGACGACGGGCCATTATGACGCCGGTTGTTAGGTAACGTCATAGGATAGGGATTGGTGACGTCACGTTCGATAGTGTCGCCATCTGGTTTGTTCTATGACGTTTCCATATTTGTCAAAGTGGGTCAGTGACATTCGTGTTGATTGCAGTAAATGTTTTAAAACTGATATTGTTGTTTCTTTTTATTTGAAAACAAATACCATCCATTTTAGCAATAATAACGGTAACGCTATTTTTCAGGGCATCCTTCGTCGGGCAGTTAATGGAAGACCTTGGGCTTCTGCAAATGATAATGCCCTGAAAAATAGCGTTGCCCTTACAATAATATGGGACCCATTAAAACCCTCTCTGGATAAACAGGGGGCGGTCGGGTAGCCTAGTGGTTAAAGCGTTCGCTCGTCACGCCGAAGACCCGGGTCGATTCCCGACATGGTTACATTCTGTGAAGCCCATTTCTTGTGTCCCCCGCCGTGATATTGCTGGAATATTGCTAAAAGCGGCGTAAAACCATACTCACTCACTCGCTGGTTTAAACAGAACACGTAACGTAATTATTAGTGGCTGTATCCTCAAAGGCGGTTGTCGTAGGTGCCATAATTGTCTCCCTTAGAGGGTATGTAAGACCACATAATTCGTACGTACATTCCTACTCCTGTTTTAATCGTAGAATAATTCTTTTGATTTTGACTATTGCCAGCAACTGAGGGATGGTATAAATCCTGCTGGGGTCCATGCAGGTAGCAGAATTGACGTAAGTCCCGATGCTTTCTCGTGTACTTTGGTCTTTGGTGCTTTATGACCCCGTTTTTATAATATATTGTTATTAGAAATATTTTTTACGTTGGCATCCTAGTTTTAAATACAACACTGTCATAATCTGGTTGTTTGACAGATTTCATATTTCGAAATGTATATATTAGTATTGTATCATTGCCACATGGCTGCGATATTGCCGATGCGTTGTAAGATGTAACTCCCTCGCCAATGTCGGATGTACTCCCTCGTGCTGTTGGACCGCCTCCGTGGTCTTGTGGTAGAGCGTCCGCCCGGAGAGCGGAAGGTCCAGGGTTCGATCCCAGGCCGCGTCATACAAAAAGACGTTAAAAGATTGTACTTGTTGTTACCCTGTCTGGCGTTCGGCATTAAGGGGCTTAAACAAGGACTGGTCGGCTCAGAGTCAGTATACTGTGTCTGAGTGGGGTATTCATGTTAAACTGCGGCATGGTATCTCAGTGAGCTAGCACTATAAATCGGCATCAGTCCGGACTAGTACAAGCAGCCACACACACACATACACGTGCATGCACGTCGCTATATAAGTGCAATAATCTTGGACGCGACGTTAAACCCAATTTCACCTCACCTCACCCTCGTGCTGTTACTTTTGCTGAAACAACAAAACATCTCAGATCTTACAGATACGGAAGAAAACTATGGATCTGTTTATGGCGTAGTGACTTTGCTCTGGTTTGCTCTTAATATGATCAAAGGGATATGTAATGGATCTGTAACTACCAGAGGACGCGATCTCTGACGAGGCGAGTACGACCAGATTATCGTAGTATTTAGGCTTAATCTCTTAATCTCCGACTGGCTGGGTATGCTAGCAAGGATTATACACACTCCTACACACAGGTGGATTCGTATACCCCAGTTGACCAAGCGACGCTTCTCTACCCATAGGTTTGATTCCTTATATGTGTAAAAGTATTGTTTGTTTGTTGTTTAACGCCGCACTCAGCAATATTCCAGCTATATGATGGCGGTCTGTAATTAACATTGTGAACACCGGTCGATACAGTTAGGATACGATGACATGCATAAACCAAGTCAGTGAGCCTGACTACCCGATCCCGTTAGCCGCCTCTTACGACAAGCATAGTCGCCTTTTACGGCAAGCATGGGTTGCTGGAGACCTTTACTACCCCAGATTCTTCACGGGTCGTGTAAATAAAACAAAAAATGGTAGCATGTTAAGAACTAAAGCGTCAGCTGAGGCGTTCGATCGTCACGGTGAAGATCGGGGTTCGATTCTCAATAGGTACATCCCTGGTGTGGTGCACTCGTGCCCGTTGATGCTATACTGCTTATTGACTAGCACACTCACTCACTCACTCATTCACTTGCATGCTAACTAGCTCGCACATTACCTTCTCACTCACACACCCACACTAACTCATTTACTTCATCACTCCGGGCGGTGGGGTAGTCTGGTGGTTAACGCGTTCGCTCGTCACGCCAAAGGCCCGGGTTCAATTTTCCACATGGGTGCAATGTGTGAAACCCATTTCTTGTGTCCCCCGCAGTGGTATTGCTGGAATATTGCTAAAAGCGGCATAAAACCAGACTCACTGACTCATGCATTCACTGTGAGGAATAACTACGAGACCCGTGAAGATCCGGAATAGGCCTTCGGCAACCCATGCCTGCGGTAAAAGACTAGGCTTGTCGGACGAGGCGACTGACGGGATCGGGTGGTCAGGCTCGCTGACTTGGTTGATGTATGTCATCGTATCCCAATTTCGTGGATCGATGCTCATAATGTCAATCACTGGATTGTCTGTTCCAGATTCGATTATTTACAGACCGCCGTCATAAAGCTGGAATATTGCTGAGTGCGACGTTAAACAACAAACAAACAAAAACAAAATCTATGGTGAGCTACAATGTGGCGACACTCTAACTGTTCTGTAAAGATATAGTAAACTACGCTTATAACGAACACGCTTTTAACGAACTGACGGATATAACGACTATTTGCTGTAGTTATGCTATATACATGCTTATAACGAACTACGGTTATAACGAACACAAATTACAAACAACAAACAAACAAATAAACAAACAAACAAAGCATAACTGCAAGGAGTGGAAATTAAGACTGTAGTTCCTGTAACGCTACGTTCCCGTAGCTATGGTGATGGAATATTCGAGAAGATACTGCTAATATTATCAAGTTTTTATTAACACTTCTGAAAGAATATTTTCTAAGCTTCTGTCTAAGCGTAGACAAGTTGGACTTTAAGTCATTGCATCCTCCTTCTCAATTAATACTGTTTGTAACTGGGGCAAGTGTGTTATATGTATAATAAAACCAGGGACGACGACAGCTGTGCTGCTAAATTAGTTCAACTCGAATAAAACATTTGTAAGATTCGGAATGATACTAAGGGAGACAAATGCTACACGACTAAATAAATATTGCATGCATCAACGCTCATATCGTGTCGTTTCAATCTTTCCAACATGTCCCCCACGTAGGCCCCACGAATCAAGCAAGATGTATTCTTGGAGCTAGATTCCACAGGGATGTGTGTATCAGTCACCTGCCATCTTTTATAGGTAAAAATAGACCATCTTATAATCTGTGTAGGTAGTATTTGCCGGTAGTTCATCGCGGAACGCTGAACGAGCAGGTAGGTTCATTTACCATACAGAATAATAAGTTAAACTTTGTAATGAATGAACCACGTTGAACATCATTGTAAAAGATTTGCGAGACATATTTTCGTGGAAGAAACTTATTTGATTTTCATTGATTTTTTTTATGAACACGTTTTACGTCGAAATTTTGGGACATACGTCAACAAAACAGAATGATACTAGATTACCTTTTTTGGCAAGATGCGCATTGTTTACGATGATCACGGCCATAAGGACGACCACAACATTTCTGAAAAGTAATAGAGTGTCGCGTACACATGTGGGTCATTCCACGCCACGCATGATTGGCGTGGGATATTCAATACGTACATTGATATAAGTATACGCGTGAGAATAGTTCGACAAAGTACATAGTTCGTTAAGGAAATATACAATTAAGGCGATTATCCTGAAACAAAATATCTGGAATCACTGTACAAATGTTCGTGTTTGTCTGAATATTTATGTAGAATTTCCTGGATAAATATTCAAGTTCGAGAAAAGCAATCAAGAAAAGTCTTTCAAATATTTACAGTTTTCGTAGGACACTGTTTATGGCCTGAACGTAAAATATATTTTAGATGGATTTTGTCCAGTGTCTGATTAATACCAAGCGTGTTTCTTTAATTTCTAACTTTCGATATTACCATAAGCTTTTCGTTGTATAAGTTACCATTGTGTAAGGATATTTTCTGTAATCTGACAGATAAAGGTTTGATTCCAGTCACTCCAACCAACCAACTTACTGGGGCGGTGGGGTAGTCTAGTGGTAAAAGCGTTCGCTCGTCACGCTGAAGGAAACGGCTCCTCCCGGGAACAAATAGATAAAGACATTACATTAAACCACGATTAGTGGGATTTTATCGAAAAACATAATTGTCCAAAAAAGTCTTGAAACAAAATAATTATTCTTTAGACTGTTGAAATCAAAAGAAACTGCCTGCCCAAAAACCATTGTTGAAAGGTGTTATTTGAAAACAAATTCAGGATCATAGTTTTAAGTAGAAACATTTCTTGTTTCGTACTTGCAGCTGAAAAAAATATCTAATCTCGATACAGAATCCCAGAGTCCTCGTTAATGAATATGCCGAGTGTACCCGAATGCCCTTGGGTGACATCATCCTCAGTATCTTGTTGGATGTCGTGATGATGTGACGTCATAACGTCTCACCTTCCATCTCCCAGTGAGAACACACGGCTATAAATAGCCATATTGTCCAGTTTCGGCTGTTCTTCTTTAAGAATTGATACCTTGCAGCTGTGTGAAGTCGAGAGGCTATCGCGTGATATAATTGATACCGGACGTATTAATGAAAGGGTGTGCCAGACGTCAGAATATATAGAAGCCATAGAAGCTGGTTACCATGTTCTGACTTGGATGAAAACTCTTGTGTTGCGATTCTAAACAGTAGTTCATGCTATGACGGAATATGAGGATTATATATATCGGGGAAATTGCTAAGTTATAAGGTAAGAACGATATTTGTCAAACGCGCTGTGGGTGTGATTAACGTATATATATATATATATATACTGTTTGTCCTTTGACACGATTAGCAAGTACCAAACCCTTCAAAATCCACTTCGTCTGACTAATTCATACGTTATAGCAATTAATGATACATTTAATTACACTGAGATTGTCTCGATTCAATATCAATTGCAACGTTGATACATAGCCTGGAAATGGCCATAAGACTTTAGAACATATTTCTGGCGACGCACCAGATAAATCTGGAGTTTTCTGGCTGTCTAGTCTTAGTTTAGCGGTAGTACGTGGTCCTGTGCACAGCCCAGAGTTTGCAAGTCTGCTGAAGTTGAACAGCCTTTGTCCTTGGATAGGTAACTGTGTTCGACAGCTTGTCAGTTTCAATGGCTTCGGTCCTGCCCCACACTGAAGCACATGTAGGACATTTGGTGTCTCCTTGATCGAAATATGATTCACCAAGGGGTGCATGGGTACCCGGTATAATGACAGGCAGGTTTGGGTGTGTACTCCCCAAGAAGCTGAGAATCAAATTCTAGTGCACAATGATCCATTGATTGGGGTAATAATGCGCAGCACCGTACAAATGAATTATTATTATTACAGCTAACATCTTAAGAACGGAATACGCTTTCTCAGAAGTTTACATACATACGTTACTGTAAAAATACTAAACTCTCTCCATTTCCAGAAAGCGATCTTAGCATTACGCCTGTCGAAGATAATTTTAGCGCTTAGATCGCTTTGTGAAACGGGTCCCAAAACTTAAAGAGGTATTTGCCTTTATTTTCAAACAGTATGCCGACTGACCAAAATAATTTAACACCAAGTAAAACCAAAATATATCAAACTGCACATTTTTAGCAAATGTTTGATTTTGACCGAACTGATCTACATGTAACGCATTCCCAGCATTCCATGAACAATGAATTAATAAAAGTCCGGCCTTCGTGAAAGAAATGTTAATCAACAGACATTTCAGTTCCTGCGTTCTCAACAGGGCTATGATTCCCCTTTAAAACATATTCACATGCACAATGCCCAGGACAGAGATATTCCAAACAGGCCCCTTGTAAACAAACACACCAGACTGTCTTTACCGGTTGGAGAAATGTGATCATTCTGAGATCTGGTGATGCCCCCTAGGACACAATGACAAAGACCCTCACAAAAATATCAGATTGACCTCTACCATTCGGGGGTATTAATACCGCCCAGCTTTTGAGTAAGGTAGAGACGTTATCGTGGCCTTTTATCGGTGGATATACTGTTGCGAGGTTTTCTATAAGAAGGATCAATTTATCTGTAGCCCAGCAGCGCGTGTCGCGTTAGTAATGCTTGTATATTATATTTAATCTGTAACCTGCGTTTGTGTCGCTTGAGCTGAGATTGAGATTATTTACAGACCGCTGAGTGCGGCGTTAAACAACAAACAAACTACTACTACCACTACTACTACATCAACTACTACTGCATCAACTACTACTACAGACTGTACTACTACTACTACTACTACTACTACTACTACTACTACTGCATCAACTACTACTACACCTACAACTACTGCTTCTACTACTACTACTTCTACCACCACTATTACTACTACTACCACTACTACTACATCAACTACTACTCCATCAACTACTACTACATCAACTACTACTACTACAACTACTGCTTCTACTACTACTACTACTACCACCACTACTACGACATCAACTACTACTACTACAACTACTGCTTCTACTACTACTACTTCTACTACCACTACTACTACCATTACTACCACCACTACTACAACCACCACCACTACTGCTACTACTAATACCACCACTACTACTACTACCACTACCACTACTACTACTACTACTACTACTACTACTACTACTACTACTACTTCCATAACTATACAATTACTCAAGTTGCTGGTCTTCAGTGAGTGTTTCTGATTATTGCTTGCATTGCTTTGATTGTATAAAAAGAAATCGTTCGTCCGTCAGTCATGCTTAACATTAGGTCATACCTTGTGTTCACACAAGCAGGGCGGCCTAAGCCTATTACTGCCACACATCACTGATCAAGATCAAACGTAATCACAACGGAAAACATCAGAACAAGTGCCGACCTAAACTCGACGGTACTGAGACGTCCTGCGCATGTCGCTGAAGGTTGTAGCTGTCAGGTGTAGGAACACCTTAATTACAGGTGTGCTTTGACGGTAGGTGATTGTAAATGTTTAATGGATTTCGGTGGCATAAAATCGATTGCCCAGTACAGGTACATAGAAGCCAATGTACCTTTTGTATGGGCGTAACATTCTGTGTTACATGCGCAACATTGCAGTGTTATATTAAGATTTTGGCCCGCGGATGAAACCAGTGTTCCTTTTGGTTGCTGTACGGATAGTTACATAGATACTGTATAATAAAGAATATTGTTAGGAAGATAACATCATGTTAGCGTTATGGATTTTCAGATTTACGGGTGAAACCCGTGGTCATCGGTAGTTTAAACTTCCAGCAAACGAAATTTCCGGGTTTCAAATATTCAATAACAACCGCAAACAGTGTTTTTCTTCTAAATGTTGTGAGGAAAGTATTACCATGTTTTGATGTATCATGCTATTTTTGTTTCATCATTGATGAATTTTGTACGGAAATAAACAGGTTTAGAATCAGCGTTGTATAATGATGTTTGGTGATTGCAGTGGCGCAGTGGTGACTTAGCATAACACCACTGACACAGGCTAATTTGCATATCACGTGACCGGATATTTCTCTTGTTTGTAAACAAACGCGCTTTTTCAGAAATCAGAAAGGAACGGAATAATGCAAGGATTTGGGGGTGCTTTACATATTGTTTTGCATAATTATATAAATATGCTAATACAACTGCGACAGTGAGTTGCATGACAATACATATTTACACATCAAAGTGAAAGTATCGCTAGCTCTCTGTAGGGCTTCGATGACAGCACGTGGAGCCGTACAACCAATGTAAACATAGGATAACTACGCAAATGGTAATAGTTTTTCACGATTTAGGATATTTTCTCGATGAAAGTTAACCATTCTATGAGAAATGTTAATCTAGATAATGTAGACTTGTCAAGAAAGAAACAGATGAAAAACATATGCAATATCTTGAATGGACTGTGTAAGTTGTGACGAATCGTCACATGGCTCTGGCCTGTGGCAGAAGTACTATGCTGATCGCAGGGAACTCTGGGTAGGAGAGCGGCGCCAGTCACGACAGATTAACTATAGTCCTTTCACTTTTTCAATAGTATGTGTCTTGAAGCAGTGATAAATACAGTATGAATCAATATTCAATTGATCGGTTCTTATTGTTCAAAATGTGTGTTCTTTGTTTGTTGTTCAACGCCGCATTTATCAATATCGCGGACGAACAGGGTTTGGAACCAACGATTATAGGTTTCTGTCACCCCTGTGATGGAAAGAGACATTGCATAGCGAATTGCGACGCCTAAACGACCATGCAGATAATGCATAATTGTGTGGTTCAGTATGTGAGGTGAGGTGAAATTGGGTTTTACGTCGCGTCCAGGAATATATTGCAGTTATAGTGTAAGTGAGTTTGATTTTACGCCGCTATTAGCAATATTCCAGCAATATCACGGCGGGGGACACCAGAAATGGGCTTCACACATTGTACCCATGTCGGGAATCGAAACCGGATGACTCGGTTCGTGTGCTTGTACGTGTCCGGACTTATGCCGATTTTGTAGTGCTAGCCCACAGACACAGTATACTGGCTCTGAGCCGACCAGTCCTTGTTTTAGACCCTCAATACAAAACGCCAGACAGGGTAACAACAAGTACCATCTTTTAACGTTTTTTGTAATGACGCGGACGGGGTTTGAACCCCGGACCTTCCGCTCCCCGGGCGGACGCTCTACCACTAGACCACGGAGGGGTTGGGCTCAATAAGTAGATCAATGATTTAGACCATATAATGAAGAAATATTTGAAATTTCAGGAATCGGTGGTGTATATAGTTCTGTGTTTTTCATTTTTCCAGTAAGCTTTGATTATCAATCAGGACTTTTCTTTGCAGGTATATGCCATGATGGCGAACGAAGAGCCAGGTCATTACGAAATCATCTCGCCTGTCAACGAAGAGGACAAAAATCTCTTTAACGTCATCTCGTACGGAAAAGTTCAAAGATTGAGCTCATTGTTGTCCAAAACTGAGGACTTGGATGTTCGCGACTCGTGTATGAGAACACCCTTAATTCACGCTATTTTTCTCCCAAAGGATGACGTCAGAGCTCACGTGGTACGTTTGTTGTTACGTTACGGAAGTGACGTCAATGCTCAGGATGCGGAGGGAAGAACCGCGTTAATGTACGCCTGTATGGAGGAGGGGAAGGTCGATTCTGTGAGACTTTTAATCAGGTGCAAGAAATGTGATGCCAATATACAGGACCGGGAAGGTTACACAGCCCTCATGCACGCTGCTGTCAGTGGCAATGCCTCAGGAATTCGAATACTTACAAATCACGCAAACACGAAAAATGTGCTCAAGATTAACGCTGTCAGCAAACAAGGGTTATCTGCCCTTGAATTGGCTGTGAAACTGAGGTTAAGTGACGTGTGCAAAGTTTTGGTGCAGGAAGGATGCGCAGACACATGCGTCAAAGATAAATCAGCGTTATTTGACATTCTCCGTGATGAGACGAGGACGAATACCCCTTTTAATCAGCGATTAGTCTCCCGATACGGATTCTCCCCGAGGCCAGGAGGGACCCCGATTAACCCCATATCAATGAGAGCGTCGCCATTTCTGAGACAAAACAGCGATCTCGTTCGAAGGGTTCTCTTGTCACCATCGGTCGAACTGACTTCCCCGATCCCAGGGAGAGTTCAGAACACGAGTGGGATTTATCAACGGCTGCTCAACTCCCCGAATGCCCAGTTCCCGATTTCCCCACGGGAAATCGTAACTCCTGGAATAGCCCATCTAGACTTCATTCACAAACCGACCTCTTCAAGGCGACCTTTGACTCCTATAACCCCCCGGAACTCTGCCCCAAATGCAAACAGCCCCTCCCCCGTCAACACGTTACCTCAACCCAGTCGACTTCCCAGCATACCTAGCGGTAAGAGGGTATACCCAGCAAACAGGGCGGACTCTCCGGAGGATTGTTAATGGAAATGTTATGTGAATGTTTGAATATCAGCATCAGTATTTATGTTTCAGTGGGATTGTGCAAAACAGATATTATCTCAAGCAATGGGGATGTGAATACAAAGCCATAGGACATGTGATTACAAAGAGGGCATGTGAATATAAAGACATGGCATGTGAATATAAAGACATATGGCTTGTGAATACAAAGACATGACATGTGAATACAAAGACATGGCATGTGAATACAAAGAGGGCATGTGAATACAAAGACATATGGCATGTGAATACAAAGACATGGCGTGTGAATACAAAGAGGGCATGTGAATACAAAGACATATGGCATGTGAATACAAAGACATGGCATGTGAATACAAAGACAGGGCATGTGAATACAAACAGGGCATGTGAATACAAAGACATAGGGCATGTGAATACAAAGACATATGGCATGTTAATACAAGGAGGGCATGTGAATACAAAGACATGGCATGTGAATACAAAGACATAGGGCATGTGAATACAAAGCCATAGGGCATGTGAATACAAAGACATAGGACATGTAAATACAAAGACATATGGCATGTGAATACAGAGACATATGGCTTGTGAATACAAAGACATTGGGCATGTGAATACAAAGACATAGGACATGTGAATACAGAGAAGACATGTGAATATAAAGACATATGGCATGTGAATACAGAGACATTGGGCATGTGAATACAAAGATATAGGACATGTGAATACAAAGAGAACATGTGAATATAGGGACATATGGCATGTGAATACAGAGACATTGGGCATGTGAATACAAAGACATAGGACATGTGAATACAAAGAGGACATGTGAATATAAAGGCATATGGCATGTGAATACAGAGCTATAGAAGATATTTTTAGACACTCTGTTCCTGGTTATAGCTCATAACTGGATAAAGTCAATCATGGATGAAAAGTGAAAGGATCAAAGGGGGATAATTCAGGTGAAACACAGGTCAAGTCCTTCCAAATCCACAACAGTATTATGGTATAATTCTTGTGACGTCATCATACAAATATTCAGAATGTGACCCTGGGGCATGTCAATACCGTTTGCAGCATTTGTCCGTTGTTAATATGCATAGTTGCATGAAATAGAATACTATAACAAGTAAAGTTGGGCATTTCGTCATTGTTAATCTCTATTGGTATGTTTTACAACATTTGTTCAGGAATATTTCATCCGGGTCAGAAGGCCATGACATTGTCTGTATGTATCTTGCGTGGATATTCAACATTTGGCCAATCAATTGTATCTCTGTCCATGTGTCATTTGTGTTTGTTATTCTCGGGTAGAACCAATCTCAATGAAATCTTAGTTCTCGCTACGGTTGAACAAAGGTCTGAGGACATACCATTAGTCAAAAGCGACGTCAATACCCACATGAAATATCTGCCAAAAGCAGAGTCGACCGCACGACGAGCATGTGTCTGTGAATCACTATCAAACAGCGACACCAGGTGCTCGCGAAAAGGCGGACGCAACCCACCCCCTCTGGTCACGTCAGAACGAAATTTCGCGAACTTTGACCTTTCAATGAAATGACTGGCATAAAGTCGGCGTTATCCAAACAGAAAGCAGCTTCTGAGTTCTCAATTAAAAATTAAACAAAAGAACATTCTGGAATGTCTAATAGATGGCCGAGATTTAAAGCAGTACTTCCCACAGGATATGCTGTTCTGTTCAATCTTCATTCCATTAAAGCGAGAAATAGACGATGGTTTTGCCGGAATCAGTCCGTAACTGTCGTTCGGAATACCCCGTGTTAACCTTTCCGAGGTTGCATGATCAGAAAATATATTCCGACTGTCAGTTTCCTGATCTGGTAAGCGACGTTCTGATTAGTCGTGACCGTAATGGAATGTGCTCAGATCTTTGTTTAGCGGCAGCATAACTAAAATCTGAGTTTATTGAGATTGGGGTAGAAATCATCCCTTGTGGGCTACGTTTGCAACTGACGACCTTTTTGTCCTAAAGGGAGATAACTCCCCTTTGAGGGACGACTTCCGGATGGATGAGTGCCTGCAGCATGTGATTGCCACAACGATGACTGAGTACTAAGCAACTCTCATCTCCTGACTGACTCATTACTCCACCGTGCCCGACTCATTACTCCACCGTGCCCGACTCATTACTCCACCGTGCCCCGAGAGTTCATAGGAATGCTCATGCCATCATTCATTGGTTTAAATATTTCCGGCGTTCGCTATACAGCCGTCGTGCGATGGATGCAATACGCCAAACTGCTGTGTACAACGCTGATTAACGACTATGCTTACAAAGTGATCGAACCGTTCGATCACCCTGTAAAGAATTAAATGAAAGCGAAAATCGAATGTTAAAATAAGTTCAACGGAAGTGTCATTTCTATTACGTGTGTGTTTGATCTCATGAAGTGTCTGTATGTTACAAATGCATAAACATTGAATAAATGTTGATTTGAGTACCTTCAAGTCTCAATCGATTTAATTACAGCGGTTCGTCGATAAGTCGAAGTCAAAGTGGTTCCTCGATAAGTCGAAGTCAAAGTGGTTCCTCGATAACTCGAAGTCAGAGGTAACATTGACATAAAAGAAATACTCTTCTTTTCCATGATTTCCTTTCACAACTGACTGGGTAGAATTCGAAAGACAAGATTAAATTTGTCAATCAGATTTTACAAGTCTATAAAAGTTAACCTGATTCTAATGTTCCACCTGTTTCTAATGACCACGCCCTACGACTCGCAGTCTGATGTTGACCACGGCTTCATGTCTCCCTGTGAACTGGACACACTATGAATGTCATGGCGTTCGCCACAAGTTGGAAGCTGGTGCAAATATTTGACAATGTCGTGTCTTAACAATGCTTAAGAGAATTATGAAAACCTAAGGGATGGGGTAATTTTAGGGACGGGCAAGACATGGAAAACATTTCTTTTAACAAGCAGATCGTCATGATGTACGTCTTGTGGACAGGTAGAAAACCAGACAGTGGGACGACAATCTCACATTGACGCTTTACCACTACGATTAATGACTTTAGCTATTAATTGTAGATCAAGTTTTTGCCGATATAATTTTCTTTATATTTCACTATATAATTCCACCTGTAAACATGAGTATCGGTTGTGCGGGAGATTGGCATCTGCCCCGAACGCACGGTTGTGAACACGCCGTACACAATCGAACTCATCAATACACTCACCCGGATTTGAATCTACACATGGTTACATGGTGTGGGTGTGTGTGTGTGTGTGTGTGCGTGCGTGCGTGCGTGCGTGTGTATGTTTAACGCCGCACTCAGCAATAAGCCAGCTATATGACGGCGGTTTGTAAATACTCAAGTCTGGACCTGATAATCATGTGATTGGAATCATGACGCGCAGTTTGGATACGATGATGTGCATGAACAAAGTCAGCGAGTCTGACCACCCGACAGTCGCCTCTTACAGTTGCTGTCGGCCTATCCTCTACCTGATCATGGTAACAATGAGTTAACTACCTGGATACCACAGTGACATAATATACATGTATGTCCCCCTGCTGATACCCTATTACATCACACACACATACATTCATCCATGAAGTCCGCATACATTTTAGCCTCAAAGGACTATTGGTCGAGATGAAATTATGCGAAGTACATCAGGCGTGGAAACGAAGGCTGTGCTATGAAAACCGTACAGTAGAAAACATAATAGTTTAAAGGGTAAGTTCACACGAAAATGAACCTATTTGTCTTGTACTTTTTCTAATTAAAAGTGTGAACCTAGCAGTGTCATAGACACAAATATAAAAATATCACAATTGATTATAACATTTTTCACATTTACCAAGTGTTATATTTCCATAATAAAAACACCATGGCTTACGCCCCTTGCAAGATGACGTCATTGGTGCCAATTAATAAACAGTATGACGTCATCATGCTTTATTAGAGCCGCTTCACGTGGTATAGTTACAGGTGTTTGATTCTTGCGTCTCAGATGCGCAGCCCACTGATAATGGTACATTGTTCGGTTCCTCGCTGTTCAAATTACAACGCAAAGAAAAAATATTCTAGAAATTAGTTATTTTCGTTTGCCAAAATCGCCACGGAGAAGACGACAATAGATAAAGTACTGTAAGATTCACGATGGTGGATGGAAAGGTCCGTTTTGTGAATCTCGTGTTTGTGATGCTCACTTTGACACTTCCTGTCGTGTTTCGCGAGCGATGCCTGCCAGTTGTCCGACTGATCGGAAACAATTACGCCCGGATCCTGTACCATCCTTATTTGGAAACGGGATCAAGGGACAGCACTCTCATCAAGACCCTGTCGGGAATGCTTTTGTAAACAAACGTCGTAAAGTCGATGCATTTCGGGAAAGTTTGATGTATGAAATATCACATACAATCTAAACACGGCGGTAGCATATAAGGTAGCTGTTTAACGCAGGAATATAGACTTTTAAGGTTATCACGCAACCCAAAACACACAAGCGTGATAACCTTTTTATCATACAATGTCATTCTTTAATTCTGTGCTTCAAAATCGCTTTCCCTCTCTCACAAACATTACCGAAACATTGCGAGTTTTCCTGGAATGCGCGCATTAATATTTATTACGTCACAGGGTAAGTGATGTGTCAGTCGGACAGTGACAGAAGCCAACATAGTTCCAACTGAAATCTGTTTCTGATGGAGTGGTGAAGCAACATATACGCAAAACAACAATTGTTTTTACTTGCCTTTCGCGGCAATCCATCGGTCTGTCCGCTGGAGTAACTGCCCTTTGGCAAAGGGAAGCTACTCTAACCCTAGTCTGAGACGTCGCGGCCACGTTCAGACGTTGTTGACAGTCGGTCTGTCATAACGTCACGAAGTGCAGTCAGATGTACACACAGCGACAAAACGAAACAAGGTAACTATTCAAACATATTTCGGCCAAATCCAACTATTTTAATTTGCGGAAAAAGGTTTCAAACCGCAGAGGTCTACAAGCACAGATATATAGCTACTGATCCCGCTTGGCTAGGCCTAGTGCCTTCGCAAAATTGCTTCGAAATTTATATCTCCAAAGTTGCCAAAACTTATAAAATGCTTAAGCTACGTCACAGTAAGAGACTGATTTTCAGTATTTTAGACTGTTCTTTCGATAATGATAACAATTATCCCAGTAGTTTATCCAGAATCCCGATCGTTAATTCTGACTCGATCGTCGAATGACAAGGGCGACGCCATGTTTGTTGATAAACGCTAAAAGTGGTCCCTACGTGACCTATGATATTTGCATCTCTATCCGCATATGACCCCAACGGATATCGTTGTTATCCGTTGGCTTTATCCTGCCGAGAAACCTGCCCATTATATGACAAAAGGTAGTATTTGTTCATAGTTTCACTAGATAATTAGACACGTAAGACGTGCGTCTCGTTCACAACCTGGCCACACTTTGACATCGACATCGGTTTTGTGATTGTGATGGTTTACTTATGTGTGGAAAGTAATTTCACATAACGAACTTCATCGCTGTTTTTTGTTGTTGTTTTTTCTTCAAATTTACAGTCGTTCACTTTCACGAGCGATAACAGTGCAAATAAATATCACTACCCCTCGATGCCCGAGGGCAGTCAGTGTGGAGATGTACCGTATGAGAAACATAACTGACACATGTGCCCCTCTAATAGGTCAGCAGTTGCAGGAACTGACACAAACCATCTCAGTTCGGTAAGGGGCGGTCGGGTAGCCTGGTGGTTAAAGCGTTCGCTTGTCACGCCGAAGTCCCGGGTTCGATTCCCGATATGGGTACAATGTGTGAAGCCCATTTCTGGTGTCCCCCGCCGTGATATTGCTGGAATATTGCTAAAAGCGGCGTAAAATCAAACTCACTCACTCACTCATTTCGGTAAGCTATTTAGCAACAACAAAACAAATTACACGTATGTCATTTAGCATGATTAGACTGATTTAGCATTCACTGATAATTCTCATAATTTTGGAAAGACGTACATACATGACTGTACACTTCTTTTGTTCCTTTTTGAATAAATACGGAACTTTGATGCAGTTAAAATACACAAATCACTGATATATATAGTTAATTCATAATGTGATATTGTTGAATTATTGTGAATGACATAGATGACAATTTAAACTTGTGAATGTTTGTACTATATCTTTCAAATCTGAGTGTCGAAGCTAGGGCTGGGACGAGTCCAAATTTACTACTCGGGTCCCAAACCCCCCTATCACCTGACCCTTACCGGGTACCCGCTGAAGGTCTCAAAAGGTAGGTACAAACTGTCCGATTGGGAAAAGCTTGACCGTAGCCCTGGCAAAATGTGTTTAGATACACGTGTAAAACGACCCGGTCATGCACATACACTGAAGCTGACTGAAGTTTTATTTTCATTCAAACATAAAAAGGTCGGATGGAATGGGCGAAGAAGTCAGAGAGAACTGCGAAATATTAGTGACTTGTAGTTAAAACGTAGAGTTCTAGATAATTTTTGTCATTAAACAATATATCCCTTGACCAAACACGGGTCCGGGTAGTCCTGTGGTACCCGGGTCCTACTCAGAACCCACCCGACCCGAGTACCCGAGTACCCGAGTTACCCATCCCAGGTGGCCCAGTCGTCTAAGGCGCCGCGATTCGCTGTGCAGAGTTGCGTCCCTTGGGCACGCCAGAAACCTATGATTGTGGGTTCGAATCCCGGTTCGACCCGATTATGTTTCTAGATTTGTCAGCACCATACCCGTGCTCGTGGGTTTCATCGAAGTGGTAAACGTCTGAGACCTGCATCACTTCGGGCTTTCCTCCCACATTAAGCTGACACGCCGCGATATAACTGGAATACTGTTAAAAGCGGCGTTAAACCCAACTCACTCACTCACTCACCAGCCCTAGTCAAGCAAGTCATGCCAGACTCTGATACTCTCAGTCAGGTCAACAGGTACTCTGAAGAGCCTAAAATACATCCTGGTGCAATGTCGCTGTCCAGTGTACACCGCCATCATGTGACCATGCTACACAGTATGAGGTAACACATTCATATCTCAATATAATCAAACAGAAATTTATATATAATGATTTTTTACCGAATTAAAATATGTTGTACATCTGTTAGGCTCTTGTGATACTGTAACTGGATTGTCTCTTTATCTAATGTGGGGCGGTCGGGTAGCCTAATGGTTAAAGCGTTCGCTCGTCACGCCGAAGACCCGGGTTCGATTCCCGACATGGGTACAATATGTGAAGCCCATTTCTTGTGTCCCCCGCCGTGTTATTGCTGGAATATTGCTAAAGCGGCGTAAAACCATACCCACTCACTCACTTAATCTAATGCAGTGTGAATGGTATGTCTCTGGATGTAACTGACATTTTCTACATCTATGGCCCTAATACTATTAGTGCATTGTAACCTGATGACATTTGTAACCAGACACCAAGTGAGGCTGACAGCAAGCATGATATACCTTACACAACTGATGATGACAGTGATGAAGACTACCAACCTCTTTCATGCAAAGTCAAGGGCGGTCGGGTAGCCTAGTGGTTAAAGCGTTCGTCACGCCGAAGACCCGGGTTCGATTCCCGGCATGGGTATAATATGTGAAGCCCATTTCTGGTGTCCCCCGCCGTGATATTGCTGGAATATTGCTTAAAGCGGCGTAAAACCATACTCACTCACTCATGCCAAGTCAAGTTCGAAGATACTCAGTATGTATTGATTGTACCATTTTCAAGTTCATATAATTTGTACCATAACATGAAATATTAAAAAATCACAATCTAACATGCTCAATCACTGTAATTTGACAGTTGTTATTTTAAATTTTAGGTCCCTCAATGATCATACTGAAGAAACAGTTGGTACAGGTAAGAACACAGATTCTTGTCATAACAAGGATTCATGACACAGTAAAAGAAATACATACAGTTAAATACACCAACTGCACATGATGTGACATGACCATGTTGAGGTGTGTCCAGTGATACTTTCTGAAAGTGTTGATGTTGATCATCTCTGTACAGGTGTGAACAACTGGATTTCTGTTGCTCTATTTTCAGTCGAAGGAGGTGGCCAATTCCCATGGAACTTGAGGAATTAAAAAGGGGCCTTGCACTTCTTCAGACAGCCAGGTTGGATGACATCATTACAGACAGGCACACTCAGATTAAAGCCTACTTAAGGAAGGAGGAAGCTGGCATTCACCATTGATTTGATGTATGGCATGTAGCTAAAGGTGAATACATGGTTATAGAAATCATCAGTATTAGCTTGTAACTAATGTATTTCATCACCTGAAACTTAATAAACACACATCCAGGTAATTTCCGTTGAATATTATCATTATATGACATCACTAGCCATTGTACAGTCAGTTTTTAATGTTTTCAGGTATTTACAAGAAACTTTAAAAATGAGCAAAAAGGGATGAGTGAGTATGGTTTTACGCCGCTTTTAGCAATATTCCAGCAATATCACGGCGGGGGACACAGGAAATGGGCTTCACACATTGTACCCATGTCGGGAATCGAACCCGGGACTTTGGCGTGACGAGCGAACGCATTAACCACTAGGCTACCCGACCGCCCCTATCAGCAAAAAGAAAGGCCTTGAAATTATCAGCTTGATGGCACATTCTATTTGCAATGACCTGTATTGGTGTGCTGCAACCAGCAAGGTGAGGTGAGGTGAAATGGGTTTTAACGTCGCGTCCAAGATTATTGCACTTATATAGCGACGCGCATGTACGTGTATGTGTTTGTGTGGCTGCTTGTACTAGTCCGGACTGATGCCGATTTATAGTGCTAGCTCACTGAGATACCATGCCGCAGTTTAACATGAATACACCACTCAGACACAGTATACTGACTCCGAGCCGACCAGTCCTTGTTTTAGCCCCTTAATGCCGAGCGCCAGACAGGGTAACAACAAGTACCATCTTTTAACGTCTTTTGGTATGACGCGGTCGGGGATCGAACCCCGCACCTTCCGCTCTCCGGGCGGACGCTCTACCACAAGACCACGGAGGCGGTCGCAACCAGCAAGGGCAATGTTAACCACAGAGCTACCATCCACAGTGGTCATGGTGCAAGCTTCCCTTCATGTATGCACGGGGAAATTCAAGATAGAATTTGGGTGACTGCTGGTGTGTGAAATAAACCCATAGGCTTCATAATGTTTGCTATTAGGGGATGACAATATGATATTCTGGGGGTAATTCTATTTTTTTTAAAAATCGACCATGAAAACTCTTTAAGAAAATTATTATGCTTCATTGGAAACAATAGAAATTGTAAACAAAGCAGATTTTACATTGTGCAGCATTTCCTACTATTTTAGGGATCCATGTCTTTATTTGTCGGTTACATTGACTCACATTATTGAGACTTCGGGACGTAGGAGATTAAGATTAGATACAATACAGTGAATTGGTAAGTTATTGTAAAAGTTCCACGTGGCTAAAACTAAAACGGATTATAATAAAAGAACAGAACTGATAATATTTGTTGTTTCTGATATCCACAGGACTGCGTTTAATCACAAACTATTTTCTCCTCTCGTTTTGCATAATTTAATCACATTTCACCTTTTCTAATATACTGACTTCACAATAGACTTATACACCTTATTCGATTTATACTGCTTATGTCATGTAAAAGGGGCATACTACAATGTATATTCTTAACGTAAATATGTAATATTGAGACAAGGCGAAGAGAAACAACCAATGTTTGTTTTGAATACGTTTGTTTTAGTATTTGATGTGGGGGCACTGGTGGCCCAGTCGTCTAAGGCGCCGCGATTCGCTGAGCAGAGTTGCGTCCCTTGGGCACGCCAGAAACCTATGATTGTGGGTTCGAATCCCGGTTCGACCCGATTATGTTTCTAGGTTTGTCAGCACCATACCCGTGCTCGTGGGTTTCACCGAAGTGGTAAACGTCTGAGACCTGCATCACTTCAGGCTTTCCTCCCACATTAAGCTGACACGCCGTGATATAACTGGAATACTGTTAAAAGCGGCGTTAAACACAAATCACTCATTCACTCACTAGTATTTGATGTATTTAATATTTCTGCCTTGTTAATTTAAAATAAACGAACAACCTATCCAATTTTCTATTGATTCTATGCGTTATTTACATGACAAAAACTTGTTAAATGTTGTGCCAAAAATAGTTTCAAATTGTCTCTTATAAATCGTGGTTTTTTTCCGTTACGAACTATTAGGTGAGAGTCAAATTGCACTTACACAGTCTGAATTGATAATTGTGAATTGGTAATCTAAGGTAGCAAATGTTATATTCGGGAGATGACTTTCCGAGTAAAGTACAGGTTCGAGTACTTTTTAGGTTGAGTCCTATCCGGGATTCGAACCCACACTGCCAGAGTGAAGCACCTAATCGCCAGCACACAAAGTCAGCGATCTTACCCACTCAACCACCGAGGCTTCAACAAAATGAAAGTCCGACAAGTGGTAGGCTGGGACTCAAACTAAAAAAAAGTACCAGAATATGTACTTTACCAAGAAAGTGTTATTCCAAATATAACGTGTTACATGTGACCACTTTCTAAATGGCATTGTGTGTTCATGGTAGTCTTAGGACTGATGCGAGTGCCGGATAGGACCATCGATTGTGCTAGTGCTCTATTCTCTGTGTTGCGTGATGCGTGATGACGCCTATTCGCACATGGTGTCAATGCCGTGAATACAATGTAACAGTTTGGTGGGAACAATTTGAGAATATGTCGTCGTGATACAAAGCAAATTACCATCAAGGGCGCTGCTATGGCCAAGTTCCAAGCATAGTGGAGTTATGTCCCCTTTTAATTATTTTGTATCATTTCCGACTTGGCGAACAATAAATGTACTTTTATCGTTTAGTTAAAGATTTTTTTCGTTTTACAAATAATCAATTGTTCAGTGGATTTTTGTTTTACATTTTTTTTTTTATAAATGTCGATTAAAATTGTTATGCATATAAAACAGTATCTCTGCCGTTGCACCTTATTGTTTAAATAAATGCTAGAATGACATGATCAATGAGAGCGAGAGAGAGAGAGAGAGTATTTTGTTTGCAATGGTTGTAGGGCTCCACTTGTAGACAGACGTCTAAGTACAATCGAAGGCTAGCGATAAGGTCACTTTAATGTGTAAAGACATGTTATGAGAGGGAGAGAGAGAGAGAGAGAGAGAGAGAGAGAGAGAGAGAGAGAGAGAAAAGTTCCTTGGTGTTGTACAAACCAACCTGAGCGCCACAACTGTCGTAAGTCTGTGTTTTAGTATGGGAGTAACGACCTCCTTAGCGCAATGATCGCTTTGTACATCACCACCTTGGACGTATGTGAGCACTCACAAAACAGTATGAGATTTAAAAACGGAAAATAATGTCAGTGATACATTATAACTGATATTTATTCAATGAGTGAGTGAGTTGACTTTATATCAGTTATATCCCGGTATAGGAGGAGATCCCGATGTGATGCAGGGCTTCGATTTCGTTGTGAAAACAGAGATGATGAGTATAATGCTGACGGACCGCGACACATAATCAGGGCGAACCTGAAATTCGAATCCACGAATACCGCGCCTTAGGCAAATGGGCGACCCGTACCCCCGATAAGCATTGCGTATCACACCTCGGTCTCAAGAGGCACGCCGTACGAAATGCGTGACATGTCTTCCTCCGTCCTCAGGCCCCTAATGGGGCTTTCAGGGGTTTTCAGGTCCTCAATCTCAACAAACACCACGCCCTCAGGAACGTCTTTAGGTCCAGAAAATGTCTTACACGGTTTCAGTCTCACGGGCTTCACCGGAAGGAGTGAATACATCTTCGTTTTCGGTTTTTCCGGGCTTGGTATTCCGCTATGTTGCAATCTGACGTACTTCCGGTAGACGAGCAGCTCGATGTGTTGCAGCGCCCTCTGTTTCTGACGGACAGTTCTGATGAGATTTTTGCACTCGGATGGTGTCTTCAGGTTGGTGTATTTCTTAAACAATAAAGGCTCCTTCTTCTTCACTTCCACTTCTGTCTCTACATCAACTGAAAAACAGATCACGGTCAACAAAAACACAAAACACATCGTTTGTTGTTTAACGGTGCACTAAACAATATTCCAGCTATATTAAGGCGGTGTGTAATTAATCGAGTCCAGTCTAGACCAGACAATCCAGTGATGAGCATCGATCTAATCAACTGTAGTATGATGACTTGCATCAAGAACGTCAGCGATCCTGATCACCCGATGCCTTTTATATACGTGAAACATGGGTTGCTGAAGACCTTTTCTATCCCGATCTTCATGGTGGTAAAAAAACACGTTTGAAACAATGTACATGTATGCTTACAAGTGATGTAATATTAGGTCACAGTTTATCATTGTGGATAGGGGTTTAGGGGGCATCTTCGAAAGGCAACACAGGCATGATGGGTGATTGAGAAACACTGTTTTGCAAATTTAACGTTTTAGTTCCATAGATGCGTATTATAAAGGCATTGTTTGCCTTAACATTATGTAGTCCTGAAACTTGAGAAGCATTGAGAGTCCTGGGTTTGATATTATGGTCTGCGCGATATACCAACATTTGAAACCTCCGGCTCTCTTAATTCCTTTCAACTATTTCACTTTTGACATAAGATCAACGTTAATTGGCACACATCAAGACAGTCTGATTTAATTTACCACGTTTTAGAACATTCTCCAGCTCTCCCAGTTTTTCCTTTGCTTCGCCTTCAACCGCCTTTATTTCCGCTTCCGTTCTGGTGAGCATGCGCTGTAACTCCTTCATTTCTGACTCCATTTCCAGCAGACCTCGCTTCATGCGGGATAACTTCCGGTGTCGTCTCCTACACAGATCACACGAGATTTGATGAAATCCTTTCGGGGCTATGTTACTATGTCATTGACATGGATGACTTACCTAGTGGGTGAAATTGTGGGTGTGTTAGTGGGTAAAACAGGTTAACGCCACTTCCAAATCTTTCTCAAGGCTGGTCAGTTAAAAGGGTTAAGAAAGCCCGAAGTGACGAAAGCTGCGAACGTTGCAGCTTTGCTAAATTCAATGAGTAAGGGTTCATTCTAAATGTTATCATAAGCGCGAATCTTGGATTCGAACCCACGACCATCGGATCCTGGTGTGCGAAAGGGACACAATTATGCACACCAAATTGCGGCGACTTTAACCATTGAGCCGTCCATCCTCCATCCAGCCCTCATCCTGGATATGCAATAGTGTTGACAATTAGCTTTGGGAAAGCCTTGGGTTTGTTCCAGAAAGTGACTTTAGCACTGCGACTGTCGTAAGACTAATGAGTGGAGCGCTAAGATCGACTTTTGTGGAACGACCACCTTTATGATGAGAGTACTCGCTCGTCACACATGACTTAGGCATATCAGTACATAGAAACCGTTACTAAGGAATGAGCTCGTGCACATCCCTAACCAAAATGGCGGTATCCGGTATACTGCATTCTTGCCAACTATACAAATACAAGCGAATCATTTTTCTCTGCCTATGTGTAGGTCATCGCCCTATTTTAAAAGAATTGTCTCGTTGTCGCGTGCTGCCATATTATATCAAACTGACATGGCCTGTATTCTGTAGGTGTACCGGAAATTGATTTAATACTTAATATAGACCAAGGCAAGAATGCTATGATGTTCTTGGATAGTTGAAAGTGTCAAGTTGTCACACTTGTGTGCAAAATAAATTAGAAACGTTTCAGAAATATCTGTCAACTGTTCCTTTCTTCACAAAATACTAAGAATGTTCCGATATGTTATAATTATCGAGTAACATAATATTTTACCTGTGAAGTGAAAAGTGTGAGTTTAGATCGACCCTTTTGTCGTCATATTTGACGTCATCAATGAAGATGTCGATGATGTCACACACGCTGTCGTCTGCCTGAGGTACCTTCCAGTCTGTGTTGTCGTCACTCACGAGAGAGTTGGTGCTGTTTGATGTTAAACTGTCTTTGGAGTTGCGTTTCGTCACACTTCTCGGTAAGATATGCCTAAAGAGCGCCATGTTGCTTATTTTATGGTGACTGTTTTGCGTGGAGATGGTGAACAGTTACTAACTTGACGTCATAAGAACGACTATGACGTCATAATACTGTGACGTCATCATTTCAATTACGGAGCCTTTTCTAAAGCGTTGCATCAACACGGCGGCAAACCAGCTCTTTGTTCATCAGATTAAATTAAGGATTGACTGTGTATTCTTTTCGATTCATACCTCAATGAACCGAAATAAATACACAGTCAATGCTTATATAGAGAATACTACACTCATTCTCGTTAAATACTATTTTTACGAAACGAGTGGACTTTCTATGGTATCTGACCGTGCGAAAGCGAGGTCAGATATGATAGAAAGTTCAGGAGTTTCGTAAAGTGGTATCTAACGAGAATGCGTGTGGTATTTTATTTATTACCCATGTTAAATATATATGTCAGTGTAAATACATAACAACTTTTATTCTTTGACAGACCAAACTGAAACCGGTTGCAAAATCTGGTTGCGCATGAATATTGATATATGCCAAAATATGGGCATTGTTGACATTTTTATGCATACGCATTAACAACATGCGCCTGCAGTTGTGTTTGCAAACATAACAGCACCGACGCTCAAGATCCTTTTGGAAGAATTACTTCAACTTATGAGAATTCAAGCGCCATGTTGTTAGTACGCAGGACATCTATAAGAAAATTTGAAAAGTCACATTAGCGCCGCGCTTTGAATATCGGACCAACAGTCGGTCACTCGCACTTTATACTGAGGGGGGCGCGAATATATCAAATGTGACATGTTATAAGCAATTGTTTTAACAAATAGAAATGCACATTCTTGCTATTCAATGACCCTTTTTCATATTTCATTTTCCCACAAAACTTTTCAGAAAACTATTAAAAATGGGCACGTGAAGAGTATTTCAATTTGAGTATTTTGTTTACAATGGTTGTAGGGCTCCACTTGTAGACAGACGTCGAAGTACAATTGAGGGCTAGCGATAAGGTCACTTTAATGTGTAAAGACATGTTGTGAGAGAGAGAGAGAGAGAGAGAGAGAGAGAGCGAGGGAGAGAGAGAGATAGAGGTGTTGTACAAACCAACCTGAGCGCCACGACTGTCGTAAGTCTGTGTTTTAGTATGGGAGTAACGACCTCCTTAGCGCAATGATCGCTTTGTACATCACCACCTTTGACGTATGTGAGATTATTTCACTTCAGGATACAGGTATTATAATTATGTTTTGGACCTAAAGTTTTCAGTATTTTCAGCCCTGTTTTGGTCAAATCCAATTTTCAAGTGTATTCTTTCTTTCCCCGTCTGTTTGTCGTTAGGCGGCATTTAGAAGGCAGACTTATGGTTTATATTCTTTCAACACGACTGGTCGGTACGGGGGTCAAGTATCTGGATTATGCAAGTACCCGTACCGAAAGATCAAGATCGTTGACAAACAACGTTATCATGAGCTCTGCAAACCTTGCCTTAACAAATGAATGTTGCAGTCAACACCACCTGGCTCTAGTTAATGTTTATATTTCTGTTCCATTCGAAGATATTCGGCGGTCATATATAGCTGCTTTAACCTTCATTTGTTCGTATTGATGGCTTCACGTGACGACTGCCATTGCCACACATTTTCGTTTTTAAGGCTCAATGACCACGTCACCATTGCGAGATTTTCAGAGGGATTCAGTCAATTACACACCACCAAGAAAGAGTTGCGTCCCTTCAATCACATCCCCCCTCCAAAACCTGATTTCGCGGAGGAGTACGCGAGGGAGTATATTTTTACACCGCTTTTGGCAATAGTCGCGCATGGGACATACTGTACTTTACACATTCACACAATGTGAGCAGCGAGTGTAGGTTTTACGCGTGACGACTTTGCAAACGCTTGCACCCCCAGGCCTTCAATCACCCACTTCGGGCCGATGTGTGAAATTCACGATTGGTACCCAATGTTGTAATGATGAATATACGGGGGGACATGGTCCTACTTGGCGATCAAAAGCATACCTGAAAGTGTCGCTTATTATCTATGCGTCTAGACTTCACATCTTGAAAAGACCCGTGAAGATCCGGGGTAGAATAGGTCTTCAGTAACCCATGCTTGCCGTAAATGGCGATTCTGCTTGTCGTAAGAGGCGACTAACGAGATCGGGTGGTCAAGCTCGCGGACTTGTTTGATACATGTGAACGTAGCCTAATTGCGTGGATCGTTGCTCATGATGTCAATCACTGGATTGTCTGGTCCAGCCTCGATTATTAACAGACCGCCGTCATATAGCTGGAATATTACTGAGTGCGGCGTAAAAACAACAAACATACAAACAAACAAACACATCTTGAAAATGTAACCTAATAAAGATGAAACTTTCTGGATCTTTGATTTGAAATAGAAGTAAAACTTTGTACGACTTTGCGTTATTTGGACAACAATGTTACCAAAAGGGTAATAACTGGATTTATAACCTCTTAAAATATCTAAGACATTGTGAGATCTGTTTTGGACAAATGTTATTTTGTTTAAACGTGACGATTTCATTATTCATTCTCACAAACGGCACAATGCAGTAAAATAACGTTGGTCGTCCGAGAATAGGCAGTAATGCCGAGAAAAGGTTCATAATGACCATCTTCCTTATCTTGTTCAGTTACAGCGTCATGTCAAGCACCTATTTCTAAACAGGAACCTGACCATCAGAGTCTTGTTATTGTCGAAGTTGGTAAACATTCCCAGACTATTCTGAGACAATCACTGCCATTAAGTGATAACACACATGTCGTGACGTCACGTGTCATCCCAGGACAATTTCTTTGCTGTAGGTGTAATTCTCTGCGCTGGTAAATCTGAGAGAGAGGTGGATGGGGGATTTTGTGAAGTTGTAAAGAGAAATGTGCGTGCCTGTTTGGTGTGTGGGTGCGCGTGAGTAGGTGCTCGCGTTTATGTTTGTTTCGTGTATGTGAGTGAGTATGGGTTTGCGCCGCTTTTAGCAATATTCCAGCAATATCACGGCTGGGACACTAGAAATCTGCTTCACACATTGTACCTATGTCGGGAATCTAACCCTGGTCTTTGGCGTGACGAGCGAACGCTTTAACGGCTAGACTACCACCCCACCCCTTTGTGTGTACGTGCGCGTGAGGTGTGTGTGTGTTGTTTTTTGTGTGCGTGCGTGTGTTTGTCTTGTGTAATTTAACTTTCAGGGGTGATGGGGTCCACTTTACATGCACAATTTGTTTCATTTACCAAAAAAATATTTTTTATTTTTTTTCCAAACCCCATGAAAGTGTGAGTTAGTGAGTTGGAATTGTCGCCACTTTGAGCATTATTTCTGTTCTATAACAGCGTGACAGCTTAATGCTGGAGGAAAGCCAGATATGACGGTGGTTGTAGACGCTTTTGGTGAAATCCACGAGGAAGGGTATACTGCTATAACAGGACAAGATCTGGTATTCCCCAAACAAGTCTGTGTATCCTGGCACTCCAAGTGCAGTGAAATGCAGTGCTTGAGGCAACGGAGCCACTCGTGCCAAAATACGTTGAGTGAGTGAGTGAGTTTGGTTTTACGCCGCTTTTAGCAATATTCCAGCAATATCACGGCGGGGGACACCAGAAATGGGCTTCACACATTGTACCCATGTCGGGAATCGAACCCGGGTCTTCGGCGTGACGAGCGAACGCTTTAACCACTAGGCTACCCGACCGCCCCCCAAATACGTTGAACAATATCATAATTAGAATATACTTTTCAGTACCGTCTGGAATAATAGGGATAAACAGTAATCAGTCTGGACCGACAGACGAAAAAATACTTTAAGGCGAACAATAAAGTCTTCAATAAAGTTTAATATTTTCCTGTTCTACAGACTGGGTTGTTTATGTGAAATCTTATCATGGCCCGTTTCAATAATAAGACTATGGTAATATGACGGTTGTTGGGTCTCTGAATTGTGGCTGTCTTCACCTTTATCTTTTTCTCAATAACAAGATTATTTATGTCGGTTTCTAAAGAGTGAAAACAAAAGTGGAGGCGGGGTGGGGTATGGGGATTCATGTGACATGAAAGTCACACATGGTCCCAATGACATGAGCTTAAATATAATACACAGTACTGTTATGAAATACATATGCGTGTCCTTTCGAAGGATTATGTTTCTAGGTTTGTCAGCACCATACCCGTGCCCGTGGTTTTCACCGAAGTGGTGAACGTCTGAGACCTGCATCACTTCGGGCTTTCCTCCCACATTAAGCTGACACGCCGCGATATAACTGGAATACTGTTAAAAGCGGCGTTAAACCAAACTCACTCACTTTGATTGTCGGATATTGTTTCGCTTTCTGATTGGATGTTGTTAGATTCAGTTGGTGTTTTCGGGCTCTGTATAACCGTTTGATTGGTTGTGTGTTTGATTCCGTTGATGTTTACGGACGCTTGGTCGGACTCTGTGACGATTACATTTTATTTCATGAAAGGGTCGGAAATAGTGTCACTGTTGCGAGTATATTTCAATGACGTAAAATATCGCACGAAAAACTCACCAGGGACAAATGTAGGGAAATCTTTAATCACCAAGTAAGGAATTGTGTTTGTTGTTTAACACCGCACTCACCAAAGGTGTTTGAATGTGGCTTGTAAATAGCTGAGTCTGGACCAGACAATCCAGTGATTGTCATAGTGAGCATCCACCATCGCATTTGGGATACGATGACATGCATGAAACAAGTCACCGAGCCTGATCACCCGATCCCGTTCGTCGCGCCTTACGACAATCATGGGTTGCTGAAGACCAATTCTAACCCACATATTCTCGGGGAGCAATATATTTCAGACAGAAAACCTACCAAAACAGTGTCATTTTAAATTCACTAACATAAATAACAGCTTTGTCTTCTAGTGTCACCGGGGGGCACGGGGGGCCCAGTCGCCTAAGGCGCCGCGATTCGCTGTGCAGAGTTGCTGTCCCTTGGGCACGCCAGAAACCTATGATTGTGGGTTCGAATCCCGGTTCGCCCCAATTATGTTTCTAGGTTTGTCAGCACCATACCCGTGCTCGTGGGTTTC